TTTCTCTTTCACATCGATGTTTCTCTCTCTCTCTTTCCTCCTCCCCCATCCTCTCTCTCTAAAAAAAAAATAATTATAATTATAAACATATTCTTAAATGAGGATTAAAAAAAAACTCTGGCTCTGGACAGTTTTTCTCAGTAGTTAGAGCATCGGCCTACAGACCAGAGAGTCTCGGGTTTGTTTCCTGCTAAGGGCACGTACCTTGGTTGCAGTTTGTCTCTGGCCCCAGTTGGGGTCATGTGGGTGGCAACTAGTCAATGTGTCCCTCTCACATGGATGTTTCTCCCTCTCTCCCTCCCACTCTATCTGAAGATAAATGCAAAAATGCCCTCAGGTGAGGATTAAAAAACAAAAAAAAAAACTCTGAAGGGAGTGGCAGAATGTATTTCAAGTGCTGAAAGAAAACACAGAACCCTGTCAACCAAGATAATCTACCCAACAAAGTTGTCCATCAGAATTGAAGGAGTGAAAAAGAGTGTTCAAGACAAGAAAAAAACTGAAGGAATGCAGCACAACTAGACTGGCCTTACATAAATGTTAGAGGGACGTCTTTAAGCTGAAACAAAAGGGTGCTAATCAGTAACAGAAAACTGTAGGAAAGTATACATTTCACTAGAAAAGGTAAATATATAGTTAAATTTAGAATTTAAAAATAGAAAATGTGAACAGACCAGTTACTAGTAAGGAGATTATATCAATAATCTAAAATCTTCCAAATAAAAAGTGCAGGACCAGATGGCTTCACTGGTTGTTTCCTCCAAAATTTAAAGAAAAATTAATACAAGTCCTTCTCAAAATTAATATCAGTTCTTCCAAAAATAGAAGAGGATGGAACACTTCCCCAGTCATTAACAAGACCAGCATTACTCTGATACCAAAACCAAGCAAAGACACTGTAAGAAAATAAAACTATAGACCAATAGGCCTGATGAACATAGATACAAAAATGTATAACAAAATATTAGAAAACTTACTACATTACATTAAAAGAATAAAACACTATGATGAAATGGGATTTATTCCAGGATGCAAGTTTGATTTAACAGCCACAAATTCATCAATGTGATAGACCACATTAACAAAACAAAGAACAAATATCATATGTTCATCTCAATAGATGTAGAAAATGCTTTTAACAGAAGTTAACATTCATTTATGGTGAAAACTCTCAAAAAAGTGAATATAGGGGGAATGTATCTCAACATAAGAAAGGTAATATATGACAAGTCTACAGCTAACATCATACTCAGTGGTGAAAAACTGAAAACTTTTCCTCTAAGATCAGAAACAAGACAAGGATAACTAGTCTTGCCACTCTTATCAAGATAGTACTGAAAGTCCAGCCAGAGAAATTAGACAAGTAAAAGAAAAAAAATGTTACCCAAATCAGAAAGGAAGAAGTAAAACTTCTGTATTTGAAGATGACATGATATTAAACCGTAAAGACTCCACACACAAAAATAATAATAATTAGAACTAATGAACAAATTCAGTCAGTAAAGTTGCAGGATACAAAATCAATATATAAAAATTAGTTGAATTTCTATAGTGATAAATTTTTTTAAATCCCATTTACAATTGCATCAAAAAGAATAGAATACCTAGGAATAAATATAATCCAGAAGTGAAAGGTCTGTACACTGAAAATTAAAGGACATAGATGAAAGAAATAAGTCTTAAATAGAAAGATATTTTGAACTCATGGATCAGAAGAATGACTATTGTTAAAATCTACACGTTCAAAGCAATCCAAATTGAACCACAGAAGACCCCAAATAGCCAAAGTGCCTTTAGAAAAAAGAAAAATCATTTTCTGATTCCAAACTATATTGCAAAGCTATAGTAATCAAGACAGTATGGTATTGGCATAAAAACAGACACACAGATAAGAGGAACAAAATAGGGAACCCATAACTAAACTCACATATGTATTGTCAAATAATTTACAAGAAAGGAACCAAGAATATACAATGGAGAAAGGACAGTCTCTTCAATAAATGATGTTGGAAAGACTCGATAGCCACATGCAAAAGAATGAAATACAACCACTATCTTACACCATACACAAAAATCAACTCAATATGTATTAAAAACTTGAATGTAATACATGAATCCATAAAACTCTTAAAAGAAAACACAGGGGATAAGCTCCTGAACATCATCCTTGGCAGTGCTTTTTTGGAATTGACTTTAAAAGCAAAGGCAACAGGCCCTGGCCAGTTTGGCTCAGCGGTTAGAGCGTCGGCCTGCGGTCCGGAGAGAACCGGGTTCGGTTCCCGCTAAGGGCACGTACCTCGGTTGCAGTTTGTCCCCGGCCCTGGTTGGTCGTGCGGGTGGCAGCCACTCGATGTGTCCCTTCACGTCGATGTTTCTCTCTCTCTCTCTCCCTTCCTCTCTCTCCCTCCCACTCTATCTGTACAAAAAATGGAAAAATGTACTCGGGTGAGGATAAAAAAAAAAAGAAAAGAAAAGAAAAAAAGCAAAGGCAACAGAAGTGAAAATCAGCAAGCAGGCCAACATCATATTAAAAAGTTTCTGTACAGCAAAGGAAACCATCAACAGAATGATGAGGCTACCTACAGAATAGGAGAAAATATTTACAAATAATATATCTTATAAGGGGTTAATATTTAAAATATATACAAAAGTCATATAACTAAATAGAAAACATACAAACAATCTGATTTAAACATAAGCAGAGGCTATGAATACACATTTTTCCAAAGGAGACACCCAGATGACCAAAAGGTACATGAAAAGGTGGTCAATCAATATCATTAATCATCAGGGGCATGCAAAATAAAACCACAGTGAGTTGTCACCTCACACCTGTGAGAATGTATATTATCAAAATACAAGAGATAACGAGGATGTGGAGAAAAGGGAACTTTTGTACACTGTTGGTGGGAATGGGAATTGGTTCAGCCATTATGGAAAACAGTATGGAGATTCTTTAGAAATTAAAAATTAGAAGTACCATATCATCCAGCAATTCTACTTCTGGTTATTTATCCAAAGGAAATGAAATTACTGTTTTGAAAAGATACCTGTATCCCCATGTTCATTGGATCATTATTTATAATAGCCAAAACATGGAAAGAACCTTAGTTTCCATCAGTGGATGAATGGATAAAGAAATCATGACTGAAAATGTTTCTTAACTGGGGAAGGACATATATACGTGCAATGAAATATTATTCAGCCGTAAAAAAAAAAGGTAATCCTGCCACTTGCAACAACATGGATGGAACTTAAGTGCATTAGCTAAGTGAAATAAGTCAGAGAAAGATAAATACTGTATAATCGCATATGTGGAATTTAAAAATAACCAGACCCATAGACAAAGGGAACAGAATGGGGATTGCCAGAGGCAGGGATTGAGCAGGTGAAATGGGTGAAGGTGGTTAAAAGGTGCAAACTTTTACTTATGAGTAAATCCTGAAGCTGGGGATGGGGCGGGGGGGATGAGGAAGGGGGTGCCAGTGGGGTAAAAAAGGAGAAACATCTGTAACAAACAAACAAATAAATAAATAAAAGTAAATCCTGGGGATATAATGTACAGCATGGTGACTATAGTTAATAGTACTATATTGTATATTTGAAAGTTTCTGATAGAGTAAATTGTAAGAGTTCTCATCACAAGAAAAAAAAATTGTAACTGTAGTGATGGATGTTAGCTAAATTTATTGTGGTCATCATTTTGCAGTACATACATATATCAAATCATTGTTTTACACCTAAACCTAATACAATGTTTTTGTCAATTATATCACAGTTGAAAACATAAGAATATGAAAAGTTTCAAATAAATAGCTATCAACGCTTTTTTTGTGAGTAGGAATATTAAAAAATCAAACAAAATACCAGATAATTTAGGTTATTTCAGAGAATGAGAGTAGTTAAAGAATAAATTCAATCATAGAGGCTTTGGGAAAATATTCTTTTTTTTTTTTTATCCTCACCTGAGGACATTTTTGTATTTTTTGTTCAGGTAGAGTGGGAGGGGGAGAGAGGAAGAGAGAGAGAAACATCGATGTGAAAGGGACACATCGAGTGGCTGCCACCCGCACGACCAACCAGGGCCGGGGACAAACTGCAACCGAGGTACGTGCCCTTAGCGGGAACCGAACCCGGGTCTCTCGGGACCGCAGGCCGACGCTCTAACCGCTGAGCCCAACCGGCCAGGGTGGGAAAATATTCTTACATGACCTTTTCACTCAGCTGTGCAATTTTAGAAATAGACTAATCTAATCAGTACTTTTGTTTTCAAATGATGACACTGAGATGTTGCTAGATGAAAGTAACATAGCCAGTTATTGGTAGAGCATGATTCCAACTCTCATATGAAATCCAGTCCTTCAGTTCTTATCTCACTCTTCCAGTGCTTTTCTACTGTTTATGTTTCTTATCTAACCACTTGCTTTAAAAGTGGCCTGGAAATTGACAGAGGTCTCTGAAAGATCTTTTACTTTAAATTGACTATTTATCAATGAATCTGTTAACAACTGAGCTCTCCAAACTCCCCACCGCCATTCATTTGTGAGACACCTTATTTTACTTTAAAACATGATGACTTCCTGAGAAGATCTCAAATGTCTCACTTAACTTGAGTACCTAATGTGTTATATTTTTTAACATAAATATTATTATGCTAGGCATTTTTAATACACTGTCTCATTAAAATCTTATCACTGTATGAGCTATGAAGAACCTGAAATTAGAGAAAGAAGATAATTTGACCATTATTTCTTTAAAGTGGCTTTAATTTATTCTGATTCTGTGTTCAATTCGTTTTTCCCATCTACCACACGGACCATTATTGTAAAAACCTCAGTTAGATTTCCCAATTTGTGTAGACATTGGTGAATCTTTAGCCACATTTTATTCTAAAACACTTGTTTACATGTAAAGTACAGTGATTAATCTTTGTTGTTGAATGTACTTAAACCAATCTTTCATTGCCATTTAGTATTCATCCCGTTTATCTTTCTTTTCAGGCCTGTATGTGGAATCAGAGGAAAAACTCTCATAATTAACTTGCCAGGTAGCAAGAAAGGATCTCAGGTAAGAAACCTTGAGAATTATATAGTTTAGTGTACGAAGTTTTGAACAGCTGTGGGAGTTAGCCAACCAAAAACTTGGAACACTTCACAAGACACTTCTGACATCAGTTGCAATTCAGTGCATTTCCAAAACCACTCTCTGTTTCAATAATTCACTAAAAAGAGTCACAGAACTCATTAAAAGATGGTATAGCCACGATTATGGCTTATTACAGGGAAAGGATACAGATTAAAATCTTCCAAGGGAAGAAGTGCATTAGAGAGAGTAGAGGACGGTTACCAAATGGGAGCTTCTGTTATCCTCTCTTATCTGTGGAGTCATGAATGCATTAATCTCCTGACATTAGTGTGTAACAACACAGGGAGTATTGCCTATCAGCTTCAAACCCTTGATGTCCAAAGATTTTACTGGGGCTCATCACATACGACTCATATGGCTGACCTTTAGTCTCTAGCCCTTCCCAGAGGTTGGGCTGATACCTTTAATGTCCAATACTTTCCAGAGGCAAAACTGATCCACATTACCCAAAGCCCCCATAATAAATCACACTTAGACTGTCTGATGGTCAAAAGTCCCCAGTACAAAGACACTCTTAACATTTCTCAGTTACTAAGGGCAAAAGCCAGTCTTTCTTTAAATAAAGCTAATTATTTATTAGGCAAGCTACTCCCTGGCCTTTGACCAAGGCTATCTTATAGCAAAATGATTTTATTTGTCTGGTTGGACATCTATATTGACTATTGCATTTTTACTATAGACATAAACACAGTATAAGTGTGAATATGCCTATGATTTAGAGAAGCCATTGTAGGATTGGGATAGATTTAGAGAAATAGCTAATCCATCCTCTATAGTCATTACATACATTTTCATATTTTTGTACTAATTTTCTTATTTTCCACCCTGATCTACTATTTGTAGTCTATGATACATTCACATCGAACTATTTACCGTAGAAATTAGCTCTATTTCACAGGCCAGTCATTTTCCATTGGTATTACATTTTGAGGAGGCTTTAACTCAGTTTTCCAATACATATAACCAGTTTTCTAATCTTACTAAACTGCCAGTATTATAATGTGAAAAATAAGAGTCAGAAGATACTGGCATATAACTGCATTCCTATACATACATTAAAGTTAGCCTTGCCTATCATCATATCATATGACAAAAATGCCTCCCAGAATGATGCTACTCAGGTTTAAGGCTTGTCAGCAACATATGGCTTTTCCCTTTCTGGCATCTGTTACAAATGAGCTAAGGAAGAACATCATCTCTTGTTCTAAACCTCTTTTGATACCCCAATATAATATCGGATTTCCCTCATTGCATGACCCATTTATTCATTCATTTACCTTTAGCTCTCATTTCTTCTCTTCGTTTATATCCAAACTTTCCTTTGAAAATCTTTGAATAAGAGTTGGTTTGGCCACTATGTGATCCAGATTGCCATCAGTATTACTTATTTAACAAGTGCCTCCTACCCAGTTAATTTCCTTTCATATAAGGCAGGGTTACTTAGTTCAGAACGAGTAGACAGACCCTCACAGTTGCAGCCCTGGTCCTAGGACCACTATATCTGGTGGGGAAAAAAAAGTTGAGGTGACATGGGAAAAAAAGATACAGCCCTAAAGTAAAAAAGTATGTCATAAGAGCATCCTCCCTCAACCCTCTCTTCCCCAGAAAAGTAAAGGAATCTGTCTAATGGGGACCATCCCTTGGCCTACCTCATGTTGAGTATAGTCATACACCAAGTAAGGTGTGTAAGCCAGTCCTTCATGTCTTAATCTCCTCCCCTTTGAGACAACAAATGTTTCCATTGTCCATCCAATTTTTTATCAAATCATTGTTCTGTAGATGAAAGTGTGTTCCTTGGTGTAACGGTCATTGATACAGTATCTTCTGTTCTGGTCCTTTCATAGTACACTGAGCATTTGTTTCTACCACTGGGTAAGCAAAGCCCAGTGTAGTATCTATTCCTGTTAGCACCCATTGGTAGCCTCCAGGGACTACTGGCGTCAGGCCAACTTACCAGCTATGTGCAAGGTCATCCCCTGTGGAATCTGCTGTGTAGCCCTCTGCCATCTCTGTCTCTCTTATTAGCAGACAGAACAGTCCTTGTTGGCATTGTGTGTCTCAGAAAGTGCAAGAGGAATATATCTACATTCATCTCATCTCCGCAGCCCCCTAATGTTCACTCATCTCATGGGCCCAGGTGGTCATATAAAGAAGCACACCAATATCTGCTCACCAGTTCCAATCAAGTCTCAATTCTGGAAGGGGGTTCTTTTGATAGGCATTAACATATCCTACTTTAATATACCCCTTGCATTCCCAGGATGATTTCCATAGGTCCATGCCCCATACAGGGATCCCTTTAGTAGAACAGTGTTCCATTGTCCTTCTGCCTGACCATAATGGCCAGGCCATTAGACACGTCCCATAAGTTGATAAAAACCCAAACATAGGGCCAAACATCATACAGTTCAGCCTATCGAGCTGATTTGTTTTTACCTTCTTCAATCAGAGTGGCGGCCTTCCAAACAGGATGCTGTCCCTTCACCTTGGAATTGCCATCCATAAACCAAGCAGCTCTTTGTTGATCAATAGAAAGCTGTTTATAGGGCACCGCCCAAGTGGCCCAAGTGGCCATAGGATCCAGCAGCTCCTCAGGTGGTTCCGAAGTCGGCCCTAGGTGAAAAGAGGCTACCTGCTCGTGAGTACCTCCTTGCATTCTCCTGGTAGCATGATCCTATATCCACCATTTCCATTTTATTATGGAATTCTCCTGGGCATTGCCTTCCCCATTAGAGCATTTCTCTGACATTACCTAAGATATGGATATTTGAGGTTTCAAGATTATATTATTTTATGTCCTTCAGTAATAAGGGACGTTTCAATTAAAGTTCAGTAACAAGTGAGTAATCGTCTTCTCAAATATAAATTTTTCTGGTCCAAAGCCCCAGCAGTTGTTGCTGGGTGGCATTCACAGGTTTTTGCCATAAGCCCCAGTTTGCTCTCCACACAGGGCTATTTTACAGCAAATTAATGACTTATATGGGCTTAGGCAGTCTTGTTGATTCCCACTTAGAATATCCAATCTATTTTGGTGGAAGAGTGGCTTTATATGCCTCTGTCTTACATTACTAGGTAGGGGAAGAATTCTCCAGTGAAACACAATATCCATTCCCATAATACATTCATATAAAGGAGACTCACCACTTCACGTAAAGTTCACTGTGCAAACATTCTATTTTCATCCAAACTTTCACCTTGATCCCTATTGCATTTCTATATCCCCTCAATCTAATATCCCTCAATTAGGACTGCAACAAGTTTTAGAATCACAGTACATGGAATTCCCATAACAACAAAAAGCCCCCCCAAAATCTTTTCTCCATTCCCTGACCATTTTACCCATTTATGTGCATATGGCTTTGGACTTCTGGGCCTGCACTGGGCCAAGGGATCCAGACCCTTTTGTCAGATCTTATATTGATTAGATTATGGGATCATCACGGTAGGTGATTCAAGGTGAGGTCTCTTACAGTCATCTTTGCCTTCTAGCTTTTTAAATATTTCTAAACTAAAGTAAATATATATTTGTTTAGGACCCAAAGCCCTCATATTAAACCACATTGTTAGACTGTGCAGTGGCCATAGTTACCAGAAAATCAAAGATACTCCTATCAGGAGACCAGCAAGTGCTCCCATCTGTTTGCTCAATCCACAGCAATGCTACATTAAGATCTTTGTTTTGCCACATCAGTGCTTTATTCAGCCATTTTTTTTAAATTAAATTTATTGGGGTGACATTGGTTAATTAGGTTACATAGGTTTCAAGTGTACTTCTATGATACATCTGTGTGCCCACCAAATATCTTCCATCACCATATATTGGACCCCCTTTACCTTTACTACCCCTTTCCCTCTGGTAACCACCACACTGTTGTCTGTGTCTATGAGATTTTGTTTGTTTGTTTTTTTATTCATTTGTTGCTCAGTTTTATATTCTACATGAGTGAAATCATATGGTTCTAACTTTTTCTGTGTGATTTATTTTGCTTAGCATGATATTCTCAATTTCCACCCTGCTAGGACAAGTTCCTTGTTATCTCTCATTCTCTTTCCCCATTTTCTTATGAATCAGTCTACCTTTACTCGCTATTTATTGCCTCAACCTAACTTTTTTCCTTTAGAAGCAACTCTGAGACTAGCAACTATATATCAGACCATTCCAGAATCTCAGCTTGTCTCAGACTCAGGATCCACCCCAACATTCTCCCTTACATTCATTTTAGCTAGTACAGATAACCAAGGGATTGTATGTGTACTTTGTTTCTAGTTATTTTGCACTTATTTTTGCATCCAGTGACACAGCTCCTTAGGAGTTGGAGCTTTCATTTTGAAATTCCATTGCTAACTTTTATCTTCAATAACTAATTGCAGCATAGCTGCATTTCCATTATGGGTGATCCTATGTTCATTCAGGCTTTACAGAATCATCACTCCTCACCCTCTCTTCCTTTCTCCTCCAAGATTACATGTTTCATGCATCAGAGTTGTTCTAACGAATTCCACTTCTAATACCAACTGTAAGGAGTTTTGGCCAACTGCGAAAGTTAGCCAACTACAAGTTAGAGCACTTCACAAGACTGCCCTTACTTCTGACACCAATTGCAATTCAAGGGATTCCTAAAACCCCTCAATTTTAACAATTCATTAGAAGGGTTCACAGCATTCACTGAAAGCTGTTAAACTTACAGTTACGGTATATTACAGGGAAAGAACACAGATTGAAATCAGCCAAGGGAAGAAGCAGATAGAGCAGAGTCTAAGAGAAGGTACCAAATGAGGAATTCTGGTCATCCTCTCATTACCACCTCAACATAATATGAGACAATATGGACAGAGTATTGCTAACTAGGTACCCTCACTTTTGCCTGTGGTATCCAGAGTTTTTATTGGGACTTGGTCATATATTGCCTGCATAGCTGACGTTTAGCCTTGCCTTTTCCAGAGGGAATACTAATGCCTTAACTCTCTACTTACTTCCAGAGGCAAAACTGATAATGTTCCCAGAGGCCCTCAAATTAAATCACAGTGTAAGGCTGTCCAGTAGCTAAAGCCCCCAGGCAAACAAAGCCGCTTCTATCAGGCATGACATTTCAAGCAACTAAAGATCACCTCCCAAAACCTGAGAGTAAAGGCCAGATCTTTCTTTGGTTACGGATAAATTCTTTACTATATGATTTTTATCAGTAAAGTGATTGAGCCATACAAAAAGAGGTCAAAATATTGGACATGCTTTCATATATTTCAGTAACCCTCCATAAATATAAGATACTTCTTTACATCTTACATTCTAAGGTAAGTTACTTTAAATGTAAAAGAGAAAGACCTCTTCCCAAACACATTTCCCAAACATATCTGACACTATGTTCTCATGTTAAAGTTGTCACCTACTCTCTTTTTGGTGATACATTATTGGTAAGAGTGTGCAGCTGAATAGGATACTATATTGACTTTAATGCAGTGTTCTGTACAAACATATATCTAACTTTACCTAGCTGTACCTTATGATGGTAGTCAGAACTTTAGATCTCTGAAAATAACTCAGTCTTCAATTGGTTTGTTAGTTCTAGTGTTCAGCTCTAATTAGAGAGGTGAAAACTGTTCTTTAATATTCCCAAAATATATCTTTAAACCCCAAAGTTGTATAGAAATTTTTGTTTAAAAAGTTGTATGCTTATACAGTACTGTACTTCTTCAGAGAATACTATAATATATGCCATTCTTACCTCATATTTCATATTACAACAATCGTGCTTTAACTAGGATTCATTCTCAAGACTGATGGAGAGAAATAACAAATTCAAAATCACAAATAAATTTGATTGCTACCATTATACATGCCTATAAAAGTGCTTCATCTTCATTTTTTTCTTCCTCTTGCATACAGGAATGCTTTCAGTTTATACTGCCAGCTCTACCTCATGCCATTGACCTTTTACGCGATGCCATTGTAAAAGTAAAGGAAGTGCATGATGAACTTGAAGATTTACCTTCCCCACCACCTCCTCTTTCTCCTCCTCCCACAACTAGCCCCCATAAACAGACAGAAGACAAAGGGGTTCAATGTGAGGAAGAGGAAGAAGAGAAGAAAGACAGTGGTGTTGCTTCAACAGAAGACAGTTCTTCATCACATATAACTGCAGCAGCCATTGCTGCCAAGGTAAGCCTGCTGAGAGAGATCCAAAGATCTAAAGGACCCACAGGTAAATGTACTGATTTCATTCCTATTTTCATCCCATCATTCCATATGTTTAAAACCTTTTCAGTACATCCTTAAAAAAGAACTAGAATACTCATGACACTCCATAGCTATGTTTCCTCCATAATGTAGAATTCTTAAAGGCATTAAAGCTTGTTCTGAGTTCTGAGGCATTAAAGATACTGCTGTTACCTAGTGAAGAAATGGCTACAATGCTAAACAATGGGATATTGAAGAAGTCTTTGGAGATGTCATTTTTGTTGTCATAATAAATACACAATGTTCATATTTTCAAAATATCACATATTCCCAAATTCTTAAAGGATAAGCAAACTGAAAGTAGACCTTATATGATTCAAGAAATTAGTTAAAAAGATTAGTGAAGATTTTTTAACATAAGGGTTTTCAGCAATTAACTAAGCAGTTATTTAAATATAATAACACAAATTACCATAGTGGTGTAGAGAGGAAGTGGATATAAGGTATTTGCATTTTTAATCTAATAATGTAATATTATTAGGATAGTACCAATGTATTAAAAATTCTTTGGGGGAAATTCTGAGACTAGAGTACCGTGAGGTACTTGAGTAAAATTAGTCCTCTTAAAGCCACAGAACATGATTTACATTATTATTCATACCTAGTGTGATCCACCCAGTGTGTTTTAAAATCTTCAGAAAGTAACATATTGCTTCTGGGAATAATGATTGTTCATTGATTGAGAGCATAAAGATTAAAAATCAAATAGCTATTTTAAGTAATCCCTAAGGTTTTATGGATCATCCAGGTATTTTGTCTATGTGGATAGCATGAGAGGGGTTTTTTAATTTTTTTTTTTACAACATATAGATTAGAAAGGATCATAGAGATCCTTTTGAAGTGTCCATTCAGACAACCAGTAGGTGATCCTTTAAATAAAGACCAGATGATTCTATCTCCAGATCTCTTTAATGATCCATTAAATTTTTACTTAAGGCTAGTAAGTATTTAAGTTGTGTGTGAGGTTTGTTTTGTTTTTATGGAACTAATTGGTGAATTCGATACATTTAAAAAATCAATGTATGTTCTTTCTTTTTTACTCTTAATTAAAAGAGTAAAAAATACCACCAATTTCAATCATAAGAAAAAAAGCTTGTAACATTGGAAATTTAAGCTGATTTAACATTTCATGGTTCCATTTGTGTTTACTTTTTTCCTTTCCAGTCATTTTGCTTGTGTAGTTTCATGTTTTCTTGTCACTATATTCATAGTTGTTATGTGTTATGCATTAGAAGCATCCATTCTACACCAGTCCTGCTGTTATCATGGCACACGGTGAGCAGCCCATCCCTGGTCTCATCAGTTATTCCCATCATGCAACAGGCAGTGCAGATGAACGGGTAAGACAAAGAGGCTTTTGCATTAATGGTTTTGCAAACATACTGCCTACCTCCTATCCTTGGAGGTAAGCTATAACATATTATGTAGATGTGTTTTATTTGGAATGATCTTCAGTAGTGCTTTCTTGTGAAAGTGTGCCACTGAGTATATTTCATCAGAGAATTTAATTTAATAGAGTTTCTCCTGTACCTAAACTATTCTAATATCATTAAGATTCTGTATTATGTAGCAATGAGCTTTCATTACATGACTTCCAAGAACTTCTTTGCTCAGAAGTTATTTTCTTTAGCAGTTTTATTACATACCTTCAAATAAATTACCCAGCTTCATTAAAGTAATTTCTTCAAGAGATTTACCTTATGCCTTACAGACTGGTCAAGCTAATATATCATTTGTATTAACCTTGGGGGTTTTTTGTGTTTTTTTGTGTTTTTTTTGCTCATGATTTTACATCTTATTTTCTTTTTCTTCACTGTGTTCTCATTACAACTATTTAGAGTTGAGTCTTGATGCAAATTCTGAAATTCCTAATCTTCAGATAAAAACTTTTAAGGATACAGTACATATCACTTCTTTTGGTCACTGGCTGAAAGATAGTTTGCAAAAAGTGCCAAGCTAATAAAGATTAAACTGATAAGTATAACTGACTAAGCAGTAATGACTTAAAAAAAAAATTCTACAGTAAAATTTGGCTTTAAATACTTAGAAAAAGCAAGCACTCAGAATTTCGGGAAGAGGGTATGGAGGGATAGGTGGGGAACTAGTATCAGTAGTCTCTTGGGAGATACTCTACCAAAATGAAGACTTTAACCCTTATACTCAATAAGCCCTGCCTGATTGGAAATAAATTTAGGTTAGTCGAAGGACAAGTAGAAAATTTGAATATTGTTTAGTAGAATTATTAATGAATTTCAGTTGACAACTGGTATATGGATTCTCCAAATATAGCTTTGTTATAAATTATAAACATTCAGAAATATACCAAACTTGAAACCAGACTGTTTTTTTGTATTCTCATTTCATAAAACAACCACAACTGTAATAATAATCCTGGTTTTCAAACTAAAGTATTTGGAAATTTTATATTCATAAACAAACTTTTAAGTTACTATATTCTGAGTTTTATTACACTGAAAATGATTTTAGGGACTCTTCTCTTTTTTTTAGTTCTCCCAAGGATTGCACATAACTAGTACCATTCTAGATGCATAGAAGAAAAACTAATTATTACATACAATGGATTTCTTTTATTCTTAGGATTTCATTCTCTGGAGGAACGAGTTGACAATGGCTATTTGTATTCTAACTAGATGTCCACATATGGCATCACTAGGAACTTATTATTTATTAATTGATATTTAATATTCCTTTGTAAGTGGTTGTTTGGTCTTTTGATAGATAATTCGGTTTTGTAAGTAGATTTACATTTTGTGGTTCCTTTACAAATGATAATCAGAACTATAAATCAAAGAGTATAATGTTCAAGTTCTTTAGACCTTGCATCCATAGAAAAGAATGAAAAAAAAAAAAAAGAAATAGATATCAGAAAATAATGAAAAGGAAGGTTTTTAATGTTCTTAGTGTTCCTAAAGAAGTTGTGTTAACTCTGTGAATGCTTATCTGGCATTAACTTCATTAATGAGCCTCACTGGTTCTGAATGCCCTGGTTTATTGTCAGTGTTTTAGATCTCTGCATGAGAACAGTCATTTGCAGTATCTCTATGGGTTTTTATACCTATGAACTATTTGGCTGATTTTTACAAGCTTTACTAATGTAAAATTTTTAAATTAATTTTTGAAAGGGAGGTCTAATTGCCTATTGGAGAGAAAAATCACAATTTTCCTCATCTGGTTCCCATTCTGAGACATGTGAAGCAATATGGAATAATGTGAAATTATGCAACTTAAAATCAGAAAAAAACTGAATATAAGTCCCAACTTTACCACTCAACATTTTGGACAAATTACTTGAGCTATAAGGTTGAGTTTCTCACTCATAAGATGGAAATAATAATTGCCCTGTAGGTCACAAGAGGTTATTTATTTATATCAAATAATGCGTATGGGGAAAATTATTAACTTGTAAATTTAGAGTGCAATATTTACAAAATTCTAGGCACCAAACTCTTTGCTTGATGCTCAGAATGCAAATATAATGGATTGTTCTAGCCTGTAAAGAGTTCACAATCTAACTAGGGGGTTCTTATTGTTACTTTTTTAATTCCCTAACTCTACTTCTTATGATAAAGAAAGTGAACCTGATCAGTGTACTGTTTCTTCAATAGTTAGTTACTAGTGATCTGATGACTAGTTTTTGCCTAACCAACCAACTTGATTTTTCAGAAAATAAAGAGGCTTGAGGAATACATCTTATAATAGATATTTGTTAGTAGTCATTTCCCATTGTCTTTCTAATTCTACACCACATTTCCCAGTCATAGAATTTAGGGTTGAGGGAGATTGACTAAACCTCCAGGATAGGCTGGCTTAACATAATCAGCATATCCATTTCACATGCCACAGATTTTTGTTTGTTTGATTGTTTTTTTTGTTTTTGTTATTTTTTTGTATTCACCTGAGAATATGTTTTTATTGATTTTGAGAGAGAGAGAGAGAGAGAGAGAGAGAGAGAGAGAAATATTGATGTGAGAGGAACATTGATTGCCTCCCATAGACACCCTAACTGGGGATTAAACCTGCAACCTAGATATGTGTTCTAACTGAGAATTTAACCCACAACCTTTTGGTGTATGGGATGAGGCTCCAACCAACTGAGTCACCTGGCCAGGGCTAGCCACAGTTTTTAGTTCAAGAAACACATAATTCAGGCCTGTAAGAGCAAGTGGGTCTCATCTCTTAAATTTTATTTGAACTACTGGGGGCATAAGCTCTCTGTTTCTTATTGGATATTAATGAGGAAATATATAACCTCAATAATTTCATCTTGGAACCAAGCAAAGAATGCCTGCCAACAGTGGAACCAACGGTTAACAAAGCAATCCTGAGAAGTGGAAGAAAAAGAGAAGTGTTAGGTCCTGTCCACAAGGTTTAAACCACTCACTCAAACCCCTGTTGAACTATACCTACCTTTTTACTTTTATTTTTATTTTTGTAGTATGTTTTTATTGATTTATTTAGAGAAAGAGGGAGAGGGAGAGAGAGATAAAAGCATCAATGTAAGATAGAAACATCGATATGCTGCCTCCTGCCTACCCCACTGGGGATTGAGTCCACAACCCAAGCATGTGCCCTGACTGGGAATCGAACCAGTGACCTCTTGGAGCATGGATTGAGCCCGTGAGCCACACCAGCTGGGCTGAACCTACCTTTTTAAAAAAAAAAAAAATTAATTTATTTTTGTTACAGATGTTTCTCTTTTTTCCCCCACCGATTCACCCCTCCCCACGCCTCCCTGCCCTCTCCCCAGCTTTTTTGTCTATGTCCATTGTTCATGCATACATGCATATAAGTTCTGTGGTTTATCTCCCCCCCCACCCCCTCTTTCAGGGATAGTCAGTCTGTACCCCATTTCCACCTCTCTGGGGCTACCTCATTCCTCAGACTATTATGTTCATTATATT